TGTTATAGAAATAAAATTAACAGACAACACCGTGCTAGAACTCCAGCAGTTCTCTCGCGTAGTCAATCATTAGTGAGTATTGAATTGATTTTCAGTTGTGTCATTTTACAGGGACCTGATTGATGATTTCAAGTTAGGTTATAATTTGGCGAGGCGTACTGAACAGCTCGCGAAATTTAGAATAAATGATAATATATGTGGGTAAAACTTGGGCACTTTGGTAGTATGTAATTCCATAGTAATTTGTTTATTAGATGTCATACCACACAGTCAGTGAAGCAGTATTATTATTTACTGGATGACGAAGTTCCGAACACAATTCATTATTGTTCATAATCATGTCACCAATTATAATAACACGATTTTGAAACTTGACTTTTATAGTTTTCTTTGCCTTCTCCTATTTGCCGTCGTCGGGGTAGTAGAATTTTCCAGATGACGGGTTGAGGGGTGTTGAATCATTCCTATTGTGGTGAGAGCAGGCTGCTAGCCGATTGGTGGGCACTAATCTACGTTAAGGTCTAGGTCACTAATGTGGGCCGTGAGAAGATATGAACAAGCCTGAGTCAACAACCAATCACAGCAAAGTTAACGTGGCAGAATATGATTCGCAGAGAGAACTCTATTTGTCAAGGAATCCCGAAACAACCAATCAGAAGCCTGCGTTTGTCTACCTAAACAACCAATCAGATGACTGCGCTTGTCTATAATAATGTTGTTGAAATATGTATAAATACGTGTTGATTTTCATAATAAAACGATCTGTTGCCTGGCCCTTGTCTTCTGTTGTTACATTTGGTGTCGCTGCCTACCGACAAATGAAAAGCCTATACCCTGCAGTTTTTGATGGAGACATATGGATCTTCGGGCAGGACTTCAAGGCTTCTGCGCAGTTGAGTGGCGTTCAAAATCTGTCAGCGATGGAGCTGCTACTTGAGACGCTGCTGGGAGGTCGGGCGAAAGCAGCATATGAAGGTGTGGGCCAAAGTATGGACGAATGTTCGACAGGGTCAGGCAAACAGTTTCCAAAGTGGGAAGGACCATATATGGTCACTTCGAGATGGGGTTACGCAGACACAGTCGCAATGGCGAACAATAAGAGGCGCGTGAACGTCAGCGAGCTCCAGAAATGGATACAGCGAGACAAGCCAACGATGACGCCTGCACCAAGTAGATCAAGCCGACTTCAGTCGCACGTATTTGACGGGGGGACGAGTTTGGTGAGAGCAGGCTGCTAGCCGATTGGTGGGCACTAATCTACGTTAAGGTCTAGGTCACTAATGTGGGCCGTGAGAAGATATGAACAAGCCTGAGTCAACAACCAATCACAGCAAAGTTAACGTGGCAAAATATGATTCGCAGAGAGAACTCTATTTGTCAAGGAATCCCGAAACAACCAATCAGAAGCCTGCGTTTGTCTACCTAAACAACCAATCAGATGACTGCGCTTGTCTATAATAATGTAGTTGAAAGATGTATAAATACGTGTTGATTTTCATAATAAAACGATCTGTTGCCTGACCCTTGTCTTCTGTTGTTACACTATTACATGTATTCTCTTCAGTTGATTCGATAAAGAAAGCTTCTGTTATCAATCTATCTCTCCACTATGTTAGTTGTATTAGATTTTAAAACTGTCATCCTAGGATGGGATAGTTTCACGTCTTATCTGCATTCTGATTGGTGTAAATTGATGACAGTCAAATAAACCCTATTTTTTGTTTTAATAATGTGATTTCTACCAAAGTTTGTCTAGTTGTTCAGAAGTTGTTTAGAATTTCAGTCACTTCATTCTTTCAGGATTGATGAAGTTCTGATTTTAGTTTCAAAAACAAGGAAGTTCTGGACAGTTATATCGCCTTTGCTTTGGTCTCTTTAGCAGTACACACTTGTGACTCCACCAGTAAGCGTTGAATACAGTTCCTGTAGGGTTATAAGGCCAGTTCAGCCACTGGAATGATATCTTGTAGCCGATGAATTCTAACTTGTGATGTTTCTTCATTTAGATTCAGATCAACTGTAAATTAAAAGTTCACAACTAGGAAGAAAAATAAACTAACAAACGTATCTGATAACTTTTCAGTTTTCAAGTATTGGTTTTGTAGGGATTTTGTTTGATTGGATGGAGGATTTCATCCTAAGCTGAAATCAGTTAGAGAACCATTGGAAAACCTGGGAATATGGACAGCTGTTTCGTCCTAGTTAAAGACTCTTCGCCCAACGGGATTCGAACTCAGGACCTTCTGGTTACAAGCCGAGCTTGTAGACCATTGAGCCACTGGGACCAGAGTTGAATTCCAACTTCTGCCAATTCACGACATAGCGTGACCATTTCGCAATGTCTTCTTCGATGAGAGTTACTGCCTCATCTTCAACCTGCTGTACCCTACTGGTCCTGGGTCCGAACCCCAGTGTTGGGTGGGTACTGACGGAGAGTCCGTAACTAGGCTGACGAAACAGCTGTCTGACAGTATTCCCAGATTTTCCAGTGGTTCGTTCTCTAACTGATATCAGCTCATGATGAAATCCTTCATCCAATCAAAATTTTCAGTTATCAGAACCTATTTCAAGTACCTTCACTTGATAGAATCACAATTCAAGTTATAGGAAGTTAAGATTTTGGGGTCGTGGGTTTTGAACCACGTGGCTGTAAGATGAAAATCGGCTAAAAATAGCGCAACATCAGAAGACAAGGGCCAGGGAACAGATCCTCTATTAAGGAAATCAACACGTATTTATACATAATTCATGTACATTATTATAGCTTATTCAAACAGACAAACACAGTCTTCTGACTGGTTGTTTCTCACAGAAAGTTAACCTTGCATCTCTTTTTGGCTGTTTCTTGAATGTCAGATCATCTATATATTAACTGTATCCGCCTACGCAAAGTCTGCTGTGTTTGGTTGTTGAGTCAGTCTTTGTTCGTATTTTTCTCACGACCAACATTGGGGACATAAATATGATAGAGAAGATTTGTAGCTCAGGTGGATAATTTTGATGTGGTTTTGTTCTCTGAGCTGGATAGTTAGTTTGCGAAGCTTTCATCACCTTACTGGGTGACATCTTCAGCGCATACTTCAAATTGAAGTGAGCTTTTAGGTTTCTCCACGAGTTTATTAATCATTCCTCCTGGTGACCTTGGACGTGATTGGTTGTTTATGTATGTTTTCACATAAACATTGACGTAAATTACTGTCTACCAATTCGGCTAGCAGACTGCTCCCACCACAATAGTAATCACCTTGTGATTCATTATATGACTCTTCGTGTGATTGGATGACTGTAACATTTCATTATCTTTATCCAACCTTGGCTGCATAAAATGTGGTTAAGTTGCTTTGCTGATCCTCCATTCCAAAACTTTTTATGTCACAGGATTGAGAAAGGTATCCTGTGTAACAGTCTCATTGCCTATCAATTTATTATTTTCATGAATATATATATTTTTCGAATTAGACCACGGATTGATATCGTTCTGAGAACCATTGAAAATCAGCTCCGGGGGGGGGGGAAGTGCTGAACAGCTACTTCCTCCGTCCTAGTTTTGGCCTTATCGGCAGTTCACACCCACCACAGGAGTTCGAACCCAGGACCTCCTGGTCACAAGCCCATTCGGTAAACCAATCGTCCACTGAGATCCGATTCAATGGCCCGTGAATTGTAACTTTTACCAATTCGCGATTTTTATTGCAAACACCAACCGATTTCGTGACCAGTGAGGATGAAGTTCCCGTTAATGATATTGTTTGATGGTTGCGCTAAAAATCATGAATTGGTAGAAGTTAAAATTCATGGGCTGACCATTGAATCAAGTGTCAGTGGCTGAACGGTCTATGAGCCAGCTTGCCTTGTAACCGGAAGGTTCTGTTTCGATCTCCTGCGGTGAGTAAGTACTGCCGATGACTCCCAAACTAGGATGGAGAAAACAGCTGTTCAGTACTCCCCCCCAGCTGGTTTTCAATGGTTCTCTAACTGTGATATCAATCCATGATCTAAATAAAAGAAACAAATCTAATCCTTACAAATCAACTATTGAAAATGAATATATGTGTTTTAAACGCGAAAATCACCTTTATCATGTGGTTAGCGCGTTCAAGAAAATTAAATTGAGAAACAGTTATATATAGGGTTATTATTATTGTTCCCTTGGGTTCCTTGTGGAACATAGGGCTTCAACTGCACGTCTCCATTTGCTTCTGTCTTCTGTTGTACTTTTCACCTGAATCCATCTTAGTCCATACTCTTTCAACTCCTCCTCTTCACACGATCTCCTCCATGTCACCCTTGCACTGACGTCTCACTCGCCGCTTCTCTTTCGGCCTGGTTCCACTCGAGCGATGGCCTGACGAGCTCGCGATGTCACCCAGCGGCGGCCTCCTCAGCCACGAGTGTCCAATCCGTCTCCACTTTCTCCTGCATATTTGTTGGTTGGCGATCGCTTCTTGCTTTGTTTGTTCCCATAGTTTCTTGTTGGTGATTCTCTCCGGCCCGGCCATCTGATCTTCAGTATAGATCCAGCGAAGACAGTTATTTATAAACGTCTGCAACAGGCTGTTGGAAATATTCTTTGTGACCCACTCGCCAAGTTTCTGATCCGTATAGAAGAACTGACTTGACGTTTGTATTGATATATATATATATATATATATATATATATATATATATATATATATATAGTGATCAAATCGCACTTTTCTTTCTGACTATTCCTTGTCCTACTGCTTCAAGGTCAGACCATACACCCCCACCCCTAAAAAGTACTCTATTCTCTTGTGTTTTTACTTATTGATTATTTTTTTATGATCATAAGGTCACTGTGACTTTTTCTAATATATAATTATACTTTCTAAGCGCAATGGAACAGTCTGATTCTAGCCAATGCATTAATGACTGACGATAAATGCCATCTATGAATTAGTTAGGATCTTTTGCTTGTATAAATACTATCTAATGCCGATAATGTTTCACATATCCCTACCGCTTATCACATAAACACAATGTCAACGTCACATATCTCAGAAATGCAAGATAAATACTTTGTAGAGCGGATTAATCAAATTTACTCTAAAGAAATTGATATAAATCAATTTATAAAACACACGTATAATTTATTAAATGATTTAATTTATCACTACAAAATACACAACTTCTCTTTACATTCTGTTAATGTATTGGGAAAATTTATATCATACATTTTACGCAACTACCGTGGATTAGATGATTTAAACAAAAAATGCATTGAAACATTGAAACAATTATTTTCAAATGGATTATTTTCAATTAAATTAAAGAATAGATTAATGTATAGGCTAGAATTGAATATAGCCTCAAATTTATTGTATAAACAGTCAAGAATTGATCAGTCCACCTGGGAATGTATTTGTATTTATGTTATTCACTGTAAAAATATTTTCCCGCCAATACGTATTTTAATATTTTTTGGTATATATACAATTTCAAATCCAGCGGAACACACTCGTTGTTTGCATAAACTAAATTATTTAATTCAAACAATGCCAATGTATGGAGTAGATTTTTTTGAAATTGTTATGACAATTAAATTACTCATGGATAAATCAAACAGCTTACATTCTAAGATTAAATTATTTTGTTTAAAAATTATGAAATTAATAAAATTGAATATGAATAAATTAGATTATGAAAATGCTTTAAGATGTATAAAACCAGGAATGTTTTATGCATTGGACATTGATAATACCACAGATGGCCATAATACCATTCCTACTATTGATATACTGTACATGAGTCGATAATATTACCTGAGTCATTGAATGAGTCATCAGTGTATAGTGTAGACTCATTAAATGACTATTTACCTACTCATTTAACATCTGAATCAATACAAATTATCCCAAACTATATTTGTTCAATGTTACACGAAAGATATAATATTCCAGTTCAACTGGATGGAATAAAAGCTTTAAAAGAATATGTAAAGAAAAGATTTTGTTGTGAAAATGCCTATGAGTTATTTGAAAATGAAAAGCATTACATTCAAGGTGTTCAATGCCTACTAATAAGTATATTTCATCTAATGAATAATCAGTTAGCCTTTATGATTGTTCATTTTGCTGATGTAATATTGGTAAGTATTTTGAGTAATAATTAAAAATAATTAATTTATTACAATAATGATAGTAATGATTATGAATATTATTATTATTGTTTGTTGTCCTTCATTTCGATTATGTACCATCCTCTTTAGCTAGCTTGACTGCTGCCCAACATCTTATTCACGCCACTATTGACTCACTTACGTCGTCAGCTTACGTCGTCTCTAGAGTAGATGTGATATCTGACTGCCGATCAGCAGATAACTTCGTCCTCCTTTATAACTGTGAGTGAGACATGGCCATTGAAAGTGGCAGACATCAAAGGCTGGCTAACTGTCTTTGCTCATAGGTGTTTGTTTGTCTATCTCTGGTGTTTGGTGGTATAATATGTTGAGTTATATTGAGGTTACATTTCGGTCGAGTGCTAGGTGAGGAGGGAATATCAGTCGATGAGGTTGTTGGGCTTCATAGGTTTAGATGAGTGGGACATGTGTTAAGCATGCCTAGCCATGGCCTTCCTCGACTGACGGACAATGTTAGCTGACATAGGGTCAGGTTGGAAAAGAGCAGGTAGTGGTGGTCAAACTAAATACCTGGCATTAACCTATGAAGTGTTTGACGGTTAGTTTGAGCCCTGTAGGGAGGTGTAGACTGGCTTCCTGGTTGAAGTCCTCATGATTCTAAGAACTGATGACTTAAGAACTCTATATCACCATTGAAGTGACGATCCCCTCGTCGCTTTCCATTTGGATTCCACTCGAGCGACGGTCTGCACTGAGCGGTCGTCAACATACCTTCCGTTTACTTCTCCAATTTCGACATAAAAACAGTTTCAATAACAGGATCCTAAGGGAACTTCCTGTTTTCTTTTGTATTCTTTCCCTTGAAAGTTAAAGCTTAATGTTTTCTGTACACTTTAAGAAAATGTTTCTGATATGAATGAATGACAGGTAGACGTATTTGCACTCTATTAAACTTCTTAGATAATCACGATATAGAATCCCTTACACGGTGTTAGGATCCTCGTAACCATTTTGGCAAATTTATGCTGTAAAGAGTTCGATAGATTTAGGGTGGGGTTTCTGTTGATTTCCCAGACTCGTAAGGTTTTAGGAGACTATAAAACTTTGAGGGAAAGGGGGTAAGCAATCTGATGGGTTTGAGCTGTTTATTGTAATTATTATAAAATTCATTCCTTCGAGGTCCAAGTGGAATGAAGGGGTTCGAGCTTCAGTCATTGAGGTTTCAGTAGCAGTAGTGTTGGGGTTTCTGTTTGCGGGATAATGTTGACAGACTCATACCCAACCTTCCTACTTTCACCGATCCGACTACCGGTTAAGTGGAGCTTAGGAGTGGTTCAATGGGAATCGAACCCTGAACCACTTGGAGATTATTATTATTATTATTGTTTCTTTTATTTCCTAGAGGAACATGTTGAGGGCTTCAGCCTCACACGTCTCCATTGTGTTCGGTTCTCCACCAACGTTTCCAACTGACTCCATGTCTGCCCACATGCTTTCATTTCCTCTTCGAATATTCCCCTCCAAGTCACACTTAGACGGCCAACTCACCGCTTCCCATTCAGGTTCCACTCGACCGATGGCCTGGCGTGTGATGTCACTCACTTAATGGTTTGTTTTCTCAGAGTATGGCCTGCAATCCACCTACCCCCATTTCTTCCTGCATATTTGTTGCGCAATCGGTTTCTGCTGGGTTGGTTTCATACTAGAGATCCCTGTTTCTGGTCTTTCCTGGCCGACCATCTGACCTTGAGTAGTAATAAACGAAGACAGCTGTTGATGAAGGTGTGTAGTTTGTTAGAAGTGCCCTTCGTGACGCTGCATGGTGCCAAGTCTCTGATCCGTATAGTTAATAGCACTGACTTCACATTGGAGTTGAAAATCCGGATCTTATTAGAAAAAACACAGGTGATGAGGATTCCTGGCCAACACCAACATCTACAACAACAACAGACAACAATCAGCATAAATGGAAGGAATCTGAAAGAAGCAACTTACTTTACCTACCCAACTGGAAAGCATCAGGGCAACTACAGGTTAACGGAACTGGTGAGGATATCAAAGTGGGATAGAGAAAGCAAGGCAAGCTTTAATTACTCTCAAGTCTGTGTGGAGATCAACACTCAGCACTACTTAGCATGAAAAATAAGATCCGAATTTTCAACTTCAATGTGAAGTCAGCGGTACTTACTATACGGATCAGGACTTGGCGCGTTACAAGCGAACTACAAACCTTCACCAACAGTTGTCCTCTCTCACTACTCAAGATCATATGGCTAGAAACGATCATCAGCAGGGATCTTTGGGAGAGTACCAACCAGGAACCGATTGTACAACAAATATGCAGGAAGAAATGGAGGTAGGTGGATTGGAGGCCATACTGTGAGAAAACAAACCATCAATTGACATCACACAACAGACCATTGTTTGAGTAGAACTCGAATGGGAAGCGGCGAGTTGGTCATCAGTGCGAGGGTGATATGGAGGGGGAGGTGTTGTGAAGAGAAGATGAAAGTATGTGGGTAGACGTGGAGCCAGGTGAAAACGTTGGTGGAGAACCGAACGCAATGGAGATGTGTGGCTGAAGCTGTTTGTTCCTCTAGGAAATAAAGGAAACTATAATAATAATAATAATTTATTACAGTCTGACGTAAATAACGACAGCAATTCGAAGGCTAACACCACTGGATAGCTGTTCTTATCTAGTTTGATACAGTTTTTTTTTCAATTAGCACCCACAACTATACAGGAAGTCAAGTACAATACGATTGAGTTTCGAGACAGTTATTCAATCCTGTGAATTTATTTAGAGAATCGAGCAACACAGCATATTGGTATCTCGAAATGAACCACTGAATATTGACGTAGTTGTCTTTTAATTCAAGTAATTCGAACTCTTCGAAGATGAATTCCCGTTTAAAATCAGATTTTAGGACTGATGGAGATTATGGGTTAATTTCGGTTGTTATATTCTCGTCATGAATAAACGTCAGCTAGAGAGATGATTGAAAACCGGGGAGCAGTAAATTTATTTTTTATTTCATTTTTTATTTTTGATTACAGCTTGATTCCACACCGTATTTTTTAGTACAAGTATGGAATTTTCAGCGTGGATATCGGTAGCCCAAATTTCGCAGGCCGACCATAGATATCAGGTGTGCGCCGGTGTGGGCTCGAACCCCGGACTATGTGTATGGTCAGTGAGAGTCCTAACCACTGTGCCACGGACGCAGCTGTAAACAGCTGTTTCTTTCTATGCTATGACTTCTCAGCAGTCCAAACTTACGACCGCATTAGGGATCGAATTAAGGACCTTCAGTTTACGAGACTAAGCTCTTCGCCTATTCAGCCACTTCATCTTTCAGCGTTACCAATGTCTTCGATGAGCATCTACCGTAGGTCTCGACTTCGATCCTTAAAGGGCTCGTGGGTGCTCACCTTTGAGAAATCCTAAAATGGGAAGAAGCCGCCGTCTAGTGCTACCTGGCTGACAGTATTCTCTATGCCTCACCTTTTTAAATCTGAAAAAGGAACAAACATTGGTAAGAAATGAGCGTTGTGAGCAGGATTCAAAGCTGCACAATGAGAATCCATTGGATTTTGTTCAACGCCTTAACCACACACTTGACAACGTTTGTTGTGTCCTTGTTCAAATTCGAAATCTGTTTGTAATGAGACAGTGCAATAATGATACTGCTTAATAATCTCATACCAGCGCATAGCAGCTGTCCGTACTTTGTGGTTTATTATATGGCTTATTCATGATAATTTCCGTTTTCTTGGGCTGAACAGAACTTTGTTCTAAGGGCCACTATAATATTCTGTTTAGCATTCGCTCTTACAGTTTTGGGATGCATAACACATATTACGATCACTCGAACTCTACTCCCATACTAAGAAAAAATAGAAGATTAACTAAGAAGGCAAACATTTATAACTTGATCGATAAATTATTAGTTTGAGATATAAAATACTGTTTCTGACCGAATAGTATGCAACAACGAAAGTCTACTGATTTGCGATGCATACCATCACCACCGTCATCCAACGTCATCGACGAGTGCTTTTCATCACATCTAACCAACAGTGGACCCCCTAGTGAACAGAACTTCTCCCTAGACCTCCGAGCACTCTAGATAGAACGTGGAGCTATGTATCGCGAATTGGAAGAAGAAGGAGAAGTTAGAGTTCATGTGCCATCGGGTTCCTTTTCAGTGGATCAATAGTCAATGAACTCACCTGGTAATCTGATGATCCTATTCTTGGCTTTGGATGAGACCATGAGTGCATCCTAGTGCTCCTTGGTATTCAGTAGTGGTTATCTGACTGATGCAAATCCATGATCCGGTTTGAAACCGATCTAATCCTTGGAAAACAACAAAACACGTAGTTCAGTAAAGAGTCTCCTTTCGGAGGCGAATTCATTCACTTAGCCCTACAATCCCAATTATACATACTTATTTTTGTATGTGTGTGTGTATATTAGGTTTGTGTGATAAGAATAAAAACAAGTTAGGGTTATTGTTGTCAAGACATTTCAAAAATGTGGTGAGTAATCAAACTGTAACTAGGGAAGAGGGTGAAGACTAGCGGAGGGGGGTAGGGGTGATTTGTTGTCAAAAGCATATTTGGTAGCATGTAGGATTTCATCATGAGCTGACATCAGTTAGAGAACCACTGGAAAATAACCTGGGAGTACTGGACAGCTGTTTCATCAGCCTAGTTTGGGACTCTCCAGCACTACGCACCCACAAACAGTGGGAGGTTCGGACCCAGGATCATATGGTTACAAGGAGAGCTTGTAAACCATTGAACCACTGGGAGCCGATCCAATGGTCCTTGAATTCTAACTTCTACCAATCCACGACATAGCTCGATCAGTGTTGTGAGTGCGTATTGCTGAAGAGTCCCAAACGTGGACGAAACAGATGTCTAGTACTCCTAGCTGCTTTTCTAATGGTTCTCTAATTGACGTCAGCTCGCAATGAAATCCTTTTAAACTTCTGTATATATCTAATAACTGTGTTTTATTCCTACTGGTTTCGTTCTTTTGCATTCTTTTTAGATGTTACTACGCAATCTACCCAACTTTGTGATACGTTCAAGTGTCAGAGAGATATTTTCACTATGTAATGTAATTTTGAAGAATAATTTAAAACCAGTGCATAGCATAATGCGTAAAATATTAATAGAATTGTTGAAACATTTCCCGCCTAATTTTATCCTCGATGAATTATGGATATGCATGAAAAATGCCAATTTTCGTGTACGTACAAACGCGCTGTACAGTGTCGCATTTATTCTACGTAATTTACATGATGAAAGTTTGGATTTGTTGAAAATACTTCAAAGAATTACACAATGTTTGAAAGACAGAAGTGGAGTAGTGAGTTTCTTTATTTGTTTGTTTATTTGAGATCTTAGATTTGTATTTTTCGTTGATTAGTAAGAGGGTCAGAGTCTCGGTGGGAGGGTCCCAACTAGGACTATTAGCTCTTCGTTTATTCCACCACCATCGATAGAGATGGCATCATGTTAATCCTCAGATATCATTCGTACTGAGAGAGTCAACATGTCATTGGAGACAATAGGACCTAGGTTGGAGTTTTTGGGGGGGAACACCGTCATCCACTAACGATTGAGGGTACATTCAGTTGACTGGTCCCGAGCTGGTCAAAACGTTCATCCTGTATTCCACTGCTGGCTACCATGGATTCATTAAAAATCAGGTAACAAGCCTTGTTCAACCTCTATTTCTGAATTTTCAGCGCTGCAAAGGAATTAAGTTCACGATTTGCAGATTACTAAGTCCTAGGTGGAATTTTACCATGGTTTATTCTGGTTATTGACGTTATTCAGATCTCCATATGTAATCTGTTCTGATGCCATGTGAGCAGCAATGAAGAAAGCAGGCATAAATGTATAATGGTATATACTATTAGATAGCTGGAGGCAATCGGCCACAGGAAGCCTTGCTTAACCTAGGTCTCGTGCTAGTTGGCACTCACCATACAGCAAGGCGTACCTGCAACCTTGAAGGAACTCATGTCCCTTCTGAGATTCGAACCCACGTCACCCAGTGCTGCAGGTCAATCGCGAGCCTGAATATCTCAGCGGTAATGCCTCTGACTGCAGGCGGCACTGGGTGACGCGGGTTCGAATCTCAGAAGGGACATGAGTTCCTTCAAGGTTTCAGATACGCCTTGCTCATTGGTGAGTGACAACTGGCACGAAACATATGTCAAGAGAGCAAGGTTTCCTGTGGCCGATCGCCTCCAACTATCTAATATCATCAAATCAATGAGCACCGTGATGGCCACATTGCAAAACCTGACTGATAGAATTCAGTCTGCACCAAAGAAAGGACTAAAACGTCACACTAGTTACTAGTGTCCAACCAACAACAACAGCAGCATCAGCAACATCCAACGACAATCACCACAAACGGGAGGGATTTGAAAGAGGTTACTTCATTCACTTATCTAGGGAGCATTGTCTCAACTACAGGAGGAGCGGACGAAGATGTCAAATCGAGAATCGGGAAGGCGAGAAACACATTCCCTCATCAACCTGAAACCAATCTGGAAATCTTCGTCACTCAGCATCACGAACAAAATTCGGATTTTCAATACAAACGTAAAGTCAGTTCTTCTATACGGATCAGAAACTTGGCGGGTCACAAAGTATATCTGCAAAAGGCTGCAGACCTTTATTAACAACTGTCTTCGCTCAATACTGAAGATCAGATGGCCGGAAAGAATCACCAACAAGGAATTATGGGAACAAACAAAGCAAGAACCAATCGCCCAACAAATATGCAGGAGAAAGTGGAGATGGATCGGACACTCGCTGAGGAGACCTCTGGGTGACATCGCGCGCCAAGCCCTCGAGTGGAACCCGAAAGCGGCGTGTGGGACGTCAGTGCAGGGATGACATGGAGGAGATCGTGTGAAGAGGAGTTGAAAGAAGATGGATTAACATGGATGCAGGCGAAAAGTATTGCAGAAGACAGAAGAAAATGCAGACGTGCAGTTGAAGCCCTATGTTCCACTAGGAACTCAAGGGAGCAATAATAATAATAATAATAATCAAAATATGGTATATACTACTGGTCAGCTGATATCAGTAGTTGAATGCCACTCTTATTAATCTCTGGTACTTTTTAATCATGTCGAAGCCGTCTAAACACTCGACTACCGTTATACTCGTTTGTATTTTCCCAAGTCAATCAAGTAGCAAGTCAGAATTCTCTTGGTTTAAACTGATTAGTCTATCCTAGCTGAGTCATTCCGGCGATATCAGTGAATCATTTCAGCCTCAAACAAGTGTAACAGCTGTATGGTGTTTAGACCACTTTGATTTGGCCAGTAAGAATTACAGGCTTATGAGCAGCTTTGAAGGTGCTTATCTTAAATCAAAGATTTAGAATCACATCACTCAGTGACAAAATCATCAAATTTGCTACAGTAGGCCGTAGACACTGAAAAAGGTTGAAGTCAGTAGACTGCTGTATTTCTGAAGTGTAAGTGTGTTATGACAGAAGACAAAAGTCAGGCAACAGATCGTTTATTGAGAAAATCAATAGAAATTTATAGATTTTTATATACATTATTATTCGTTATTGTTAGCCGAGAAGCAACGTCTCCTTTTAACGCAGATTTTGTATAGTTTTGTAACTTCTGGGTTTTGAAACAGCCTGTGAGAGGCGCAACTGCTGAAACTGAAAATAGCCTCATGTCAACAGTTCAGTGGTACCAGCGCTGAATAGACATACGCCTCATGGAAAATTGAGAGAATTACTTCGTTGTTTGGCGGAGAAGGCATCGTCGTGCACGTGGACGAAACTGTGTTACTAAAGAAAAAAAATATACAACGGTGGCCGTGAGAAAGTCAACATTACCTGAGTGATTGGTTTATATGACACCTGCCTACGGAAAGGATTCTGGGGAGAATACCAGACAGAAAGTCTACTACCTTAGTACCTATTGTCACTCGACTGGTGAAACAGGGATCTATAGTACCTACTGATGAATAGAAAGGTTATAACTCGCTGTCATCTTTGGATGTATTCATCACAGAGTGAACCATTCTAGGGATCTTGTGGATCCCATTAAAGGGACACACACAAATTCTATGGGAGGATTTTTGGGAAGATTAAAAAATAGGATTAGGGCTATAAATGGATCTGAAAAGGATCTCATTTATAGTCATATGGATGAATATATGTACAGAATGTGGCGTGACTTTTCTATTGACTGTCCTATCCTTAACTGGGAGATGTTTCTCTCACATGTTAGAGAAAGACACCATGTGTGTAACAGTTTTATGCAGTTTTTATGCTGCTTTTTCCCATAAATATACGTTTTCCTTTATCAAAAATCCATCTTTCATGTGATTGGTCCCTTGAAGGTCATTCGCCGATTGGTTGTTAGTGGTGCTTAAAGTTTAACTTTTCCCCATTGCCTCTATGTATATTGCCTCTTTCTGTCCAATAAGGATTATGCCAGCTCATTTATCTGGACTGCTTGTTAGAAGTTCTTTGTTGTATCTCAGTTGATTTAATTCTTCTCTGTGCTGTTTTGTTAAGCGGTTGAATACCTTTGGTTTTTTTTGTTTTGTATTTGGATATTGATGATGACAAAAATCGATTATTGTTGATTTGAATCGCTGTTGTACCTGTTTAGAGGTTGGCGTTAAATTGTTTGTTTGGGTGCATGAAGTATGCATGTACATGAGTAGGAAGGTACTGAAATTTCAAAGTCTAATGCTTGAATCCCTATTGTCCACTTGAAATGTAAGACAAAAAAAAATTTTTATTGAAGAGATATGAATTCACAATTTATGTAGCAACAAGTTGGCAGAAGAAGAATCCAGAGAAGATGCAACTTTAGGTGAACATAGAGAAAACAGAGGTGGTGATGAAGATTCCTGGACAACACCACCAACAGCAGCAGCAACAACAACAACAGAAAACAGTCAGCCAGCATAAATGGGAGGAACCTGAAAGAAAAAACCTCCTTTACCTACCTACCTACCTAGGGAGCATCGTTTCAACTACAGGCGGACTGAACTGATGAGAAAATCAAAGCGAGGATCGAGAAAGCAAGATAAGCTTTCATAACTCTCAAGTCTATGTGGAGGTCAACAGCACTCAGTACTCAGTATGAAAAATAACATCTGGAATTTCAACTTCAATGTGAAGTCAGTGCTAATATACGGATCAGAGACTTGGCGTGTCATAAAAAGTAACATCAAACAAACTATAGACCTTAATCAACGGCTATCTTCGCTAAATACTCCTCAAGATCAGATGGCCGGCCAGAAAAGATCAACAATAGGGAGGGATCTCTGGCAATGAACGAACCAACCCAGCAGGAACCGACTGTGAAACAAATAGGCAGGAAGAAATGCAAGTGGATTGGAGGCCCTCGAGTGGAACCCGAAAGGGAAGCGGCGAGTTGGTCGTAATTGTGAGGGTGACATGGAGTGGAAGAGGTAATGTGAAGAGGAGATGAAAGATTGTGGGAAGACTTGGAGCCAGGTGAAAACTCTAGCAGAGAATCGAACGCAATGGAGACGCGCGGCTGAAGCTCTATGCTCCTCTAGGAATTAAAGGAAATAATAATAATAATAATAATAATGTGTGTAGCAAGCATATAATGTATCCCTTCTTCTCTTTATTATCTGATATATATATCCATATAAAATGTGTGTTTGTTGACAGTCTGATCTTGGTGATATGTATCCATATAATATGTGTGTTTGCTTGACAGTCTGATATATTTTGCTATGCATATATGGATCGATATTCCATTATAATTAGCCAATCATGTTAAGACTGTCTATTGATTTGTTCATTTTGAATATTCGCTCACACACTTGTGTTTACACACTTGTTCGGACATTCATACATATTTTTGCTCTCACACTCTTCTGGGACACATTGATTCTCCTGGTGTTTTGGAAAATAGAAGTATCATCGCAAACCTAGTGGTCTTCTGATTTCCGTCTTTCTTGCATCAGGACTATTAAATTCTCGACCAGTACATAACATTATCATTATTATTATTATTACTGTTATTGTTATTCTTTTAGGTTCAAACAGCCGCCATTGAATGTTGTGCAATCCTTATAGGATTACATAATCGAAATTACCTCCAAAATGATGATGCATCACTTTTGTATGTGATTGAAAATTTTCTTCTCGAAGAAATGCCCGTTCTAGAAGTTGACTTTTTATTACAAAAAATGAAAAAAGCTATTCAGCGTGAAAGTTTTAAGGAGAATTTCATCGATGAGAATGATTCACTAGAGTTGGAGATTAGTGAAAGACAAAAATGTAAGTGTTTCACAATAAAAATTCTGTATTTTCAAGTAAGGATGGAGTTCCCACCGATGACATCGGTTGGTAGCAGTTAGAATTCATGGGCTGACCACTGGATTGGGTCCCAGTGGCTGAATGGTACACGAGCTTGCTGGCCTTGTAACCGGAAGTTTCTGAATTTGAACTCTGATGGTGGGTGTTTACTGCCGATGTGTCCTAAACTAGGACGGAGGAAATAGCTATCTGGCAGTAATCCAGTGCTGGTTTTCAGTACGGTTCTTTAAATGATATCAATCCGTGGTCTACCCCAAAACAAATTTCTTATTCTTACCGTCCATCATTTGAGTTTCGGGTAGAACACAGGGACTCAAACAAAACATCTCTATTTTCAAGTATTGGTTTTGTAGGGATTTTGTGTTTGATTGCGTGGAGGATTTCATCAGAAGCTGACATCAGTTAAAGAACCACTGGAGAGCAAGGGAGTACTGGACAACTGTTTCGTTAGCCTAGTTTGGGGCTCTTCAGCAATACGCACCCACCACAGGGGGGTTCGAACCCAGGACCTTCTGGTTACAAGGATAGCGAGGTCGTAGACCATTGAGCCACTGGGACCCGATCCACCGGTCAGTGTATGAATTCTGACTTCTGCGAATTCACGACATAGCGTGACCATTTCGCAATGCCTTCTTCGATGAGTTACTGCCTCATGTTCAATCTCTATTTCACTGTGTTCTTTGCAGTCAGTTTAAAACGTCTCTACGACTGCACACAAGTTTGCATTACCTCAACATCACATGGTTTTTGGCATGTCATCCTCGGACTTATGTCCCAACCAGTTGTTTCTCATTCGGACTCCACTTGATGTTCTGCCCGGTTTGTGGTGTCTCCCCAGAGTGTGTCCGATCCCCATCTGTTCACTTCCCTTTTTGAATACTGTTGGGGAACAGGTTGTTAGTTGGTTCGTTGCTAATAATTCCTTATTGTCTCCAAAAATTTAAGGCAATTAGTTCCTCCCATTATAAAATTTCGATAACACAATAAGAAGACGTGTATTTTATCTGAAACGTGTAACGTGTATTTGCGCAACACATTTTGGTCATTCTGATCACACACACATACTTCTCATACACGGTTTTATAGAAGGAAAGAAGGCATGAATAGTTACAATACAGGTCAGATTGTCTACAGGTCAAGGTCACAAATAATGGGCAGGGAGATGACGCAAATGTGTGTGGGTAAGAAAGAGAAAAAGAGAAAAAAACAAGGCAAAGAAGGGGTTGAGAATATTATGAAGTCAATTGGTCCTTGGTTCTAGCTTGGATTGTCAAGTCAGGTTTAAAGTGATAACAAAAATAACTTTTGGACACATAAGACAGATAGATTTAAGTCTTTTTATGGCTAAGGCTTCAACGAATTTAAGTATGTGGCCCAAACTTGCTTTATATATCGGCTTAAAGGCGCTGTTGAAATCAACCTGATATTACCCGTCTCTATAATATGCTTCGCTATAGAGATGATGTTGGACATCTATTCTCGGGGGCACTTGTGTCTGGGGATTTTATTTGTTGTTGTAGCCACTTTGAAATGTGTTCTCTTAGCCCCCTAACCTGTAGAGACTGATGGGTCCTCCCTACTATGTTCATGTCTCCACACATACATGTAAATTGATAAACACATTGGGATGTGACACTGTCGTTCGGATAATGTCACGGTTTACAGGACAGCATAGTTCTTTACCAGTTGGCCATATGATCATCGGTATAGACCGAAGAAGAAGAAGAAGAATGTTAATGAAGGTTAGCAGCCTGTTGACAACTCCTCGGCTGTCAGGCATATCAAGTCTCTGAACCATATGGTAGCGATGGCTTGACAAAATAAATTTCCATATATCAAAATATGTATCCTGTGAAATGATTGAAAGTCGTAATCTACATATAAATAGCTAATGTTCGATTGATCAAACGATATGATTCAGTGAAATCCAGACAAAATCATCAGTTTTTAATTTTGACCACGGATTGATATCAGCTAGAGAGAACCATTGAGAACCAGAAAGTACTGATGCTAGTGACTGGCTACAGGATAAAGTTGCCTGGAGTTCTGGTAAGAAGTTTTGATCTGTGTGGTTTATCCAGTCGAGAGTGAGAACGAATACTCTCCGCGAATGACACTGGCTGGCAGTGGTCGCGTTGAAATCATGAATTAGTAAAAGTTACAACTCATGCCTGACCATTGAGTCAGACCTCAGTGGCTGAATGGTAAACGAGTTCGCCTTATAACCAGAAGGTCTTGTGTTCTATCCGCGGCGGATGCGCATTGATGATTTAACCCAAAACTAGGCTGACGAAACAGCTGTCCAGGATTCCTCAATTTTCAATGTTTCTCCAACTGATATCAGGTTGCTTGAAAAAAATCAATTCCCTAGAAACTAACTTTTGAACGTCGGTTTTAAGTATAGACTCACTCACAGTATATATATAAGCATTATAGCAGTTACTTTAAAGGTTATATTTATATAATCACAGGTTGCTGGTGGGTTTTTTTTATTCCTTCATGTTCAAACTGGAACATAAAGCTTCAAGCAAGAGGCTTGAAGTTTCTGTAGCAATGAGGATTATTTATTACAGAATGGGGTTGCTAGCACAAACCATTCCATTATGATATATCTTCTTTGTCTCCTTCAAGAAATCCACGATATCTAGTTGAAAGCCGATTGTAAGATATTCAGAAGTACATTTTTGTGATCAAAAGACATAATTGAAGAACAGTTCTCTCGTGTATTGGAACACGTTGCCCATACACAATTAGGCCTTTTCTCAGGTTTAGAAGAAAAATTGCGAAACAGAAGCTTATGCATTATTTAATTGAATTTTAGAATTTCCCATCGATTGATTGGACTGAAGTGCTTGGTCCCAGGTTGACACATATTGGCTTCTTGTGAAGATGCTTTTACAATGTCTGGGCGTGTAATTAGAATTTAATTGGTCGATGGTGACTAGCAGTGGAGTCCACCAGGATAACGCGCATTTCGTCCTCTATTTGGGTCTCGTCAACTGGAAGGATGTGCCTGAATTCCGCAGTGAGTGAGTGATGATTAATTAATATGATTCGTTGCACAAGAGGTGGCTCTCGCGGCCCAAGTGGTCCAGTGGATAACGTTTTGGCGTTTGAAATTATGGGCGTTGGGTTCCAGCCATTGTGTGAACATCATCACTCACTGACTGGGGAATGCAGGCACATTCTTCTTTCAGACGACGAGTCCCAAATAGGACGAAATGCGCATTATCCCGGATTCCACTGCTAGTCACCATCCACCATTTAGAAGCTTTTAAATATTTTAAATACACACAAGATTAGGTAATACCAATAAAGGTCATCTTAATCAATTAAAACAAACCGAACGAGAGAAAATACATGGAATGGATAGATGAAAGTTTTATCGTAGCGCAGGTTTTAAGCAGGCTGTCACTAAGTTTCAATCTATGTCAGGATTTTAGAAATTCATTTGCGTACAACTTATTACTTCCCAAATATCCCCTAGTTAGATATGTCTTGAAATTTTTTACTTAAAATGTTGACCAAGCATGAGGGGTTTACAAGAAAGCAATTCAATATTTAATTTATATAGCTTTATGGAGATTTGTTTGATTCCATGGTAGATTTAGAATACAAGACCACAGTAGCTTGGAAATCCTTAAAAAATTAAACATCAATGGATATGTAGGCTTCTGTCTAGTCAGCTCAATAACAAACACTACAAGTATGTGAATAAAAATCCAAGTTAATGAGATGACAGTTTAACCGTATATTATAAAAAATGATCGAATATATTGATAAGATCACCACACTACGGATCATCATTGAAGAGAGTTTTGTAATAGCAGTCACCCCTGTATCCTAACTTCATCGACTTTCAAAAGGCCTTCGACAGCGTCGATCGACAGGTGATTTGGCAACTACTTCGCTACTACTACGGGGTGCCACCGACAATTATACATCTCATCCAACAGTGTTGTACAACAATGCTGCATGCCAAGTAAACCACAACGGGAAACTCATGGAATCTTTGAAGTGAAGATGGAAGTAAGACAGGGCCAGTTGACTGATTGCCTACTATCTCCAATGACTTTCCTGATTGCGGTAGACTGGATAATGCTGCAGACAGACAGCAGGCCGGGCAACGAGGAGACAGGCATAAAATGGACCCACAAAAAACGTGGAGGATCTGGATTCCACCGGTGATTTATGTCTGACTTCCGACGAAATGTAAGATATGTCAGTGAAAGGCAGCATGATGGCAGAAGAAGCATCCGAAGAAGATAGGACGAATTTCAGGTGAACATAAAGAAAACGAAGGTGATGAAGATTCCGGGCCAACACCAACAGCAGCAGCAACAACAACAACGGACAACAATTAGCACAAATGGGGGAAATCTGAAAGAATCAACCTCTTTTAGCTACCAACCTGGGAAGCATCGTCGTTTCAACTTCAGATGGACGAAACTGATGAGGGTGTCAAAGCCAGGACTGGGAGAACTAGGCAAGCTTCCATTACTCTCGAGTCTGTGTGGAGATCAACACTCAGTACTCAGTATGAAAAATAAGATCCAGATTTTCAACTCCAATATAAAGTCAGTCAGTGCTACATGGAGCGTCATAAAGAGCACATCAAACAAACTACAGACCTTCATCAACAGCTGCCTTCGCTCAATACTCAAGATCAGATGGCCGGCCAGAAAAGACCAGAAACAGGGATGTCTGGGAGCGAACCAACCCATCAGGAACCGATTGTGCAACAAATCTGCAGGAATAAACGGAGGTAGGTGGATTGGCCATACTCTCAGGAAGCCGTCAAGTGACATCACTTGACAAGCCCTAGAGTGTGGATTATATTAATTATACGGTCACTTGGATATACAGTTAAAGTTCGAGGCTACAAATTATTAATATAATCCACAGAAGCGTCCACTGCTGGAATCGTGTCTGCTGGTAGAAGCTGTGTACCAGTTGTAGGATAGTCTTCGGATGAGGATAAGAGGTTCCTTGCAAAAATCCAAAGGATACAACACAGTTATGCGTGAAGCAGGTAGACAGTATAGACCAGTGAGAAGACAAGGCGGCCAAAGCAGCACACTGTATTTTGTATTGTACTCGATTGTATGTGAATCGTTTTAAACAAAAGTCATGTACAATGAATGTCTGTAATTTCAACATTTAACATAAAAGGTGTACAATCATATTGTTACACAGTTCACAGATAGCTTAGCCTGGCCCACTAGCTCAACTCTTCTGGTAATTGAACCTATGACATAAACACAACCATACTTGAGATTCTGTTGTCTTACAATAAACATGGGTCATGATTTCCAACTTCTCCCAACTAGTGACCATGCTTGATTGCAATCCAAAATCACCAATGGTTAACTGTCTCATAAATTTCACTTAAATTTACCTTAGTTTCTGTGTTAAATGATTCACTTACAAGAACAAATTTGAAAAAGACCATCTTATCAATATTGGCCAACCGTGCATGTGACCTGGGTTCGATTCCTGGTGATACACTCTTAAACCTCGCATAGTTAGTAGTAGTAGGCTTGTAATGATATAAGACAAGGGCCAGGTAATAGCTCTTTTATTGAGAAAATCAAGAGGTATTTAGAGATTTCCATGTACATTAATTTTAGCGGAGAAGCAACCTCTTCTGATGGGTTGCTCTCTTGCTCAAGGTCATTCTGTTATCTCTCTGTGGCTGTTTCTCAGAAAATCAAGCCATATATCTGCGAATCATATTTTCACACGTTAACTCCTCTGTGATTGGCTGGTGATTTTCTCAAGCTTAAGCTTTGTAATTGTTTTTTCTCATGACCCTGATTCAGGACGTGAACATTGATGTAAATTCTTGTCGACAATTTTGGCTTGCAGACATCTCTCACCACACGTTCATTAAATGGTAAATATTGGGTATGAGATTAGAAACTTCACGCCGCTAAAAAACAAACAAATGTCAGCCCAACTGAAATTTCATAGCCTAAGCTAGAAACCTCATGTTCCACAGGGGAGGCACGGGAATGGGAAAAACATTTCATCACACCATTTTGTACTGTCAAGATTAGTTGTTAAGCCTTATTTATATAGGCACATACACATTAGCCTTGTGCATCCATAGAGATTTAAAAAATCAATACTTTTAATTTACAATCCTGACTTCATATGTAATGAAGAAAAAAACATTATCGATCTTTGGTATCACTGAGGAATCCCTTTACCCATAGGAGTTATTTATAGAGAGGCTTTGGTGCAACATACAGTGATATCTAATTATGTATAAGATAGTGGTTTAGGGAAGCGGGGCGGTCGCAGTCTAAGAGTTCCATTATATATATAAAAGTCCTGTTTTTTCGTCTCATCACCAAAAGAATACTTAGGATTCTTGTGAATGAAATTATTTATTTTATTTAATTGAATTTTAGATTTTCCCGTCGATTGATTGGACCGAAATGCTCGGTCTCAGGTTGACACATATCGGCTTCTTTTACTCGATGCATCCAGCTGACGAGTCCCAAATAGGACGAAATATGCGTTATCCTGGATTCCATCGCTAGTCACCATCTACCAATTAACTTTGAAATTATTCAATATTTATGGGTGTTTAACTTACTTGAGTGTTAATCAAAATATTTGAACATGAAAGCTATAATCGATTTCATTTAGAGAACCCCTGAAAACCCCTGAAGTTTTGAACATCTATTTTGTTCTTGTTTGGAGCTCTTCAGCAGTATGTATCCACAAATTCACCAGGGATCAAAACCCAGAACCTTCAGGTTTCAAGACGACGTCGTAGAGTATTCAATCACTGAGACGCAATGCAATCACAGCCCATCACTTCTAAGATCTATCATTTCGCGATATATATATATATATATATATATAGCGCGATTGTCAGTCAGTGCCATCAGCATCGATTTATGTTCACACCTAAGTTGGTGAACCCTTCTGGTTACCACTTTCCACTAGTACTCCCTCCAGGTAACTTCATCCTGCAGTGAGTTACTAGTGTGGTATAGACTAACTTCCAACTGCTTTCCAAACGTTCATTCCCACCCAAAAAGTATGGTGGAGGTATGTAGATGACATATTTACTGTACTTAGAACACAAGATATACATAGATTTTTCGAACACATCAACTCGAAGGTAGAGGCAATTCAATTCACTTATGAATTGGAAAGTCAGGAAGAGCAACTTCCAATATTAGATTGCAACGTAAAAAGAGGAGAAGATGGGAAGTTAAACACATACTAGTGTGTTTACAGGAAACCAACACATTCAAACAGATATTTGGAATTCCGATCATATACCATCCTAAGTCAGTGAAAATAGGATTGGTGAAATGTTTAAGTGACGGAGCACGAAAACTCAGTAGTACTAAGGAAAATCTAAGACAGGAAATGATACACATAAAAGAAGCCTTGAAACTTAATAATTACCCGGATAAATTAGTCCGGAAATATGTAAGAAAATGTAAAGATAAAATAAATAATGATAGTAGCGATAGTGATAATAATAATAATAATGATAATAGTGGTAATAATAATATTAATGACGACACCAACAATAAGGAATCTAAATCGTCAGTAGTATTTCCATACAAGGAAGGAACCTCAGAAACCTTACAACGGAGAATTCTTAACAAGGCAGGAATAAAAAGTAGCCGACATTCAAACCCGCAAACTCAATTAGAAACAGGTTTTGTCGGTTAAAGGATCAATCTTGTGGAGCCTTTAAAACAAAACTATTTAGTTTATCTAAGTTCCAACTGTTGGGTTTTCATTACCAATATTACCTGTTTTGTATTTTTATCACAAATCTGAATTTTATTCACCATTATTTCTTATATCTTATTTTATTAAGTTAGTAAATATGCTAATTCAATGAGAAGTGTACCGAGTAATATGAGAAGAACTGTTACATTCCCAGCAATGGTAAGTTGATTCTAATTCTTACTATTATTATTATTATTATTGTAGTTGTTATTATTATTATTATTATTAATTACTTTCAGCTAATATTTAACATTTCAAATGAATAGGACGTTTAATAGAATTTACAAACTTCATACACACTTATTCCTTCTCTTTATGAATTTGAATAAAACAAGATCAACAGTGTTGTTTGTATAGCAAAAATATTCATTCAGATATCTATAAAACACAACATAATCGAGCAAAGAATATCTCCCTTTCAATAAATTCCTCTTCTGGCTCTACAATTATATACATGTTTATATACACAGAGTATTTAAAGTTGGTAGTTAATAACAACATTGGTGTTTTTTTAAATAATATCGATTTGTTAAGTAAGATCAATGCAATTACAGTTCACTAAAAATACTTAAATTATAATAGTAATAAAGATATAATAGCGAGTAGGATATCAACTAAAATTAGGAAATTTTCACGAAAATTGAGAATCATTCAAACCTAGATGGCCAAGCGGTAAGGACAGCGTCTGAACTAACTTCTTTTGGACGCACAAATTAGGCTTTTTAATGTGGATCCCAACAGCCTCAGCAATATTTAGTAATCGAACTCTTAAGGTGAAGTTGAGATTTGTTGGTATCCGATAAATAAATCAAGCTTTCAGAGTTATTTATTGGATACCAACAAATCTCAACTTCACCTTAAGAGTTCGATTACTAAATATTGCTGAGGCTGTTGGGATCCACATTAAAAAGCCTAATTTGTGCGTCCAAAAGAAGTTAGTTCAGACGCTGTCCTTACCGCTTGGCCATCTAGGTTTGAATGATTCTCAATTTTCGTGAAAATTTCCTAATTTTAGTTGATATCCTACTCGCTATTATATCTTTATTACTATTATAATTTAAGTATTTTTAGTGAACTGTAATTGCATTGTGATCATACTTTACAAATCGATATTATTTAAAAAACACTAATATTGTTATTAACTACCAACCTTGAATATTCTGTGTATATAAACATGTATATAATTGTAGAGCCTGGGAGAGGAATTTATTGAAAAGAATATTCTTTGCTCGATTATGTAGTGTTGTTTGTGTAGAATAAGATACTACCATCATTGCTTATTTCATTGGCTTTTCTCATCAGCTGCATACAGCCTAAAGTTAATTATTAAGTTTTTTGTACAAAACAATTTTAACATACTTGTGAATGTTACATGATATCACTTGACAGGAGAGACAAAACTTGATGAACAGTTCGCAGAAAATTACCCTTATGTGTAGTTGATACCAAGAAAGTTCCAATTTAAACAGAGATAAATGTTTCCATACCATGGCAAAAGAGTCACGTAATAAAGACGAGAGGTGAATAGGATTATGAGCAACTAATAGAGTGATTAACAATATGGTGAGTTCATCTCAAATCATAGAAACAAGGAACAAGTAAATTCACATGAAATCAAAGAGAGGAGATGATGTGGCCAAAGATTACGTAATCAAATGTAAGAGAGAGAGAGAGTAAAAACATCCAGTTACTAGGGTAAAGAAAGACTGATAACTGCTAATTTTTGAACATGTCAGTTGGATTTCAGGTGTTTTATTGCGGTCGGATAGACAAACATGAGGAGTACTGAATCATTCTGTCTATTGATAATTTTAAAGGATTTCAATGATGTCCATCTCATAATCCGTATGGACGATATGTCTAGTAATGATGCTGTCCCAAGCGTTTGTTCCCCATGAGACTTAGGCTTCTTAGTACATGTTCATAAAATAGAAAGTATGCCTTCTTTTTGTTCTCACAATGTATACACATGAGATAGGTATCTGTTGACTTTTTCAGGTACTGTGGGTTGTCATGTTGTCCGATAAACAGGAACTAACTCAGTTGTAGGATAGGTTCTGATTAGAGAGGTATTCAGTCTTTTGTTGACTATTCCTGCAATCTGATCACCTTAAGAATAGATATGAATGAAGTTAGGCTTCTCTTACACCCTGACAGTGGAGTCTCCTGTCACCTGACAGTATGTAACATTTGCAAGTATAACAAAATTGTCCTGTACACAAACTTAATAATTTGTTTAGGCCTTAAGCAGCTGATGAGAAGCCAACAAAATAAATGGTGTTGGTATTTTATTCTGTTCTTCATTCAAAAATAAAATTCATATAGTTGGTAATTTACAAAGCTATTAGTTTCTTTTCCATAATTATGTAATAAAACCCATTATTTCTTCAATAGACCTTTCATCTTCATTATTGTAAGTTCATTTCACTGGACTGAATTAGTTGATCGTCGTCTAACTAGTGCATGCCCTCACCAGATGCATTCCGCTAGTGTATCGACATAATTTTGTTGTGATTTATACTCAGACTGTAGGATCATATTTCATTAAATGAATCCAATCATACAGGAAGTGACTGTTATGTTTGAATGGCCTGTTGAATAACACTTTTGTGCTTGAAACTGTGATCGCTCATTTCATCTGTTACTTAACGTATCACTGACATGGTCAAGAGAAGGGGAAAACTGCTTCCTGACTTTCAGCACTAGTCATTACCGAATAAGCAGTATCTGTAAGATTGTATTCGTATTTATATATGCAAAGACTTCTGGTGTTTACTAAACCATAACAATGGAAATGAAATGTGCAAGTAGAAAGATTTTGTGAGTTGGTGGTTCTATAGCAGAATACAAGTGAGTCACACGGAAGGTCCAGTTTACATTTGCAGCCAATATACTCTTCGGCCTCACTAGCCTGGAAAAGAGGGGAGGTTGAACGAGAGGCTAACAGCCATACACCGTAAGAAAACAGCACCACTACTACTGAAATAGAAAAGCTTGTTGCCACATGATTCATTCGGACCACAAAGGAACAAAGTAAAGTAAAGAACATATCACTTCACCACATCATCTACGATCTATCGGTGTAAGAACGAATTAGATAAACATTTCAATGATTCAACATCTATGTTATAAATCATGGGTGATGGAGTGTTAACCTTTAAAATAAGTACTTTCAATTCCATTGCGGGGGTAAAATTTATTTTGATAATGTCTCAAAGTGTTATACAGTAGTAATATTTACTGATGACAAAGTTTCGAGCACAGTTTATCATTGCGACTCATAATCATATCAAGGCACTACTCACACAACTTTCTAACTTCGTTTACATAATTCCATGATCAATTTTCATCGTTTGATTTGATTGGTAGTAGTGTAACAACAGAAGACAAGGGCCAGGCAACAGATCGTTTTATTATGAAAATCAGCACGTATTTATACATATTTCACATACATTATTATAGCTTATGCAAGTAGACAAGCGCAATCATCTGATTGGTTGTTTATCAGAAGTTACGCAGACAAACGCAGGCTTCGGATTGGTTGTTTCGGGATTCCTCTACAAATAGAGTTCCCTACCTGCGAATCTTATTTTGCCACGTTAACTTTGCTGTGATTGGTTGTTCAATCAGCCTTGCTCATATTTTCTCACGGCCTGCTCTCACCACAGTAGTATTTTCTGCATTTCCGGTATGAGAGTGATGAATCATTCGTATTGCATGTGTTGGGTGTAGACTCGATGAATCGGGATTCAATAATCAACCTCTCTCTCCAGCCACATAGATTACTTCTGAGTTTCTTAACCCTCTCCCACCCTATTGTGTGATTGTATGTTAATGCATGCAGTTCAGTCGTTAAAATTTGATCTAAATTACTTATCATCTCAGGGTCAGTTATTCTAACCTTAGTTAAATTCTTATATTCTGATGATTTGACTACTCCTGATCTACTAGTTTCATCTATGTAGTTGTTCTCACAGTCAGACAATGGGATTATACTCTACTACAGTGCACAAGTTCTATTCTTATATCAAAGTACTTTCAAAACTGATTATGAATGAGAGAGCACACATATATTCAGAAATATGTTTCGCTAAACATACGATTATGGCGAATGGGGATTTTAAAAGGATACAATGTCAATAGGAGGGATTTGAAAGAGGTTATTGCATTCACTCACTTATCTAGGAAGCATTGTCTCAACAACTACAGGAGGAACGGACGAGAATGTCAAATCGAGCGAGAGTCGGGTGGTGGGTGAGAAACACATTCATCAACCTGAAATCAATCTGGAAATCTTCCTCACTCAACTCAGCATCAACAAGAAAATTCGGATTTTCAATACAAACAACGTCAAGTCAATTCTTCTATATGGATCAAAAACTTGGCGGGCGGGTCACAAAGGATATTTTTAACAACCTGTTGCACACCTTTATCAACAACTGTCTTCGCTCTATACTGAAGATCATATCAGATGGCCGGGCCGGAATGAATCACCAACAAGAAACTATGGGAAGGAACAAACAAAACAAGAACCAATCGCCAACCAACAAATATGCAGGAGAAAGTGGAATGAGATGTATTGGACACTCACTGAGGAGGCCGCTGGGTGATATCGCGCGCGCATCAGGCGATTGCTCGAGTGGAACCCGAAAGGGAAGCAAGTGGCGAGTGTGTCGTCAGTGCAAGGGTGACATGGAGGAGATCGTGTGAAGAGGAGGAGTTGAAACAGTATGGACTAAGATGGATGCAGGTGAAAATTACGGCAGAAGGAAGACAGAAGTGGCAAGTGTAGACGTGTAGTTGAAGCCCTATGTTTCACTAGGAACCCAAGGGAACAATAATAATAATAAACAATGTGAACATGCAACATTCGACTGTGTTTAATTCATATCCGTTTAATTCTTCCAGATAGTATGATTTACGAATAACACAGTAATCAGTAATTTAACTCAGCAGAAAATACATGTATACATGATACTCAAAATGACTCACTGCTTTCAGAACTGAACTTTGCACAAAAGTTCACCAGTTCGAGCTGTCACACTCAATGTAGAGTACAAAAGAAGACGAAAAAGTGATGGAATGAGATTCAAAAGTACGATAACAAACCGAAAGAGAAGGGAGGATAAAATATGAACGTGGAAAAACGGTAGGGTTTA